TGCATCATCTCGATGCCAGACATGTTGGAGTCTATGCAGCCGACAGAGTTCCGAGGGTGTGGACGAGGTCGACGGCTATCGTCGCTAACACCGACAATCACGATCGACCTGGAGAACATTGGATCGCCTTCTACCTCGATGATGAACACGGTACAGCCACTTATTTCGACAGCTACGGATTGCCCCCCTTGTATCCAGGATTTCTCATCCGACTTCGACGAAACTCCATCATCCATCGTTGGAATATTCAACAATTACAAGGAATTTTTTCTAAGACTTGCGGACAATACTGCTGTGTATTTTTATATTATATGTGCGGTTATAATCTTAATCAGTTTCTCGCTCTTTTTTCCGAAGATTGTGAATATAACGATCGTTTAATCATACACTTATTTCGTAAAATTTTTACTCACAAAAAATAAGCGAATTATAACAATATATAATATGAATTTTAGTATGAATAAATAAATTTTGTTCTGTAAAAATATTTTAAATATAATCCATATTTGTACTTTTAAAACTATTGTTCAATTTTCTTTCACTTCCTCTTTCCAGAAATTTCCTCCACATGCATGTTCCTGTTTACCTTCATTAAGCAGCGAGTTATTTTAAAATAAAATTTTATCTGACATCTTTCTAATCTACGACGATGTATTATTATTTTTTATCGTGACGCGAGTCGGAATGCTCGCCTGTACAAATATTTGCGTGTTCTTTTTATTACCCTACGCCATTGTCAGCTACTACCTGCCCACCGGTCGACCGCACGACGCTTTTCTTGGCCAAAATGTTTTTACCCCACCCCGTCTAATATCGACCATTTGATTCGACGAGCTATCCTTGCCATACGTATACCCGAACTGTTTTTACCCCACCCCGTCCAATATCGACCATTTGATTCGACGAGCTATCCTTGCCATACGTATACCCGAACCCCCATGCCGTACTCTACGCAACTTTAGCTTAAATACCACATCTAATCCTTAGACTAGTAAGATCTCGTTTAGCTCAACATACTAGGACCCTGCTCGGAAACACGGAGGTCCCGGGTTCAAATCCAGAGAAAATCAGAAAAAATAAAAAATAAAAATTCTCATCCCCACCTTTCGGGGCCAGTCGCCATTTTTTTTCCCCCAACACCCTTTCCCCTAACACCCACACTCGGAAAAGCCAGACGCCGGTGGTGGGGAAAGATAAGATAAGACCCGGCGCCAGACGGGTCGGTGGTGGGGGTTTGTTTTGACGGGCCATACCTGCCATTATACTACTAAGAAATAAAAAAATTTTAGTTAAAAAAACTGGGCGCGCTGCTAAGTTTCAAAATTACAATGCACCTTAAAGTAACATTAATTAATTTAAACACAAAAATATTTTAACTGTAATGAGTTTAAAAGTAACAATTTAATTTTAATATTGTTAGAATATTATTTAGCAGCGCTCCCAGTTTTTTTAACTAAAATTTTTTATTTCTTTTTTCATGGCGCATGGACTTGGCATCTTGTTTATCTTTTTTTAAAAGATAAGTTTTTTATGGTACGATTCTACATTTGCAAATTTAAATTTTACTGATTCATTATACGACTCTATATATGTCTGCAACTTTAATTTTCCACTGGTACAAGTTTCTACTTTCACTTGGCGCAATTTTTTTTTTATTTCATTACTTTGTTACGATTGTACATGAATTTATAATCGATAATTTTTCATACAATTCTATTGTACATGGGTTTGCAATGTAGGATTCTACATAAGTTTGCAATGGATCATTTTAATACAATTCTACATGAGTTTGCAATGGTTAATTTTGCCTAGGATTCTACATGGGTTTGCAATGATTATTTTTTATAGGATTCTACATGGGTTTGCAATAGGATAGGATTCTACATGGGTTTGCAATGGATAATTTTTGTTAATGGCGTGCCCTTAACTGGTCGCCTTTTTTTACCTTTTTTTAAAGGTGAGTTTTTAGAGATTATATCATTCATTTTTGTATATTTTTATGACCGGAATAGAACAATTATTAAACATGTTTATCTAAACTTCTTTGCTTAAAATGATGTGTACAATCATATCCTAGAATCCTGATCATTCCTCCTAAAGCACCCTATTTATATAAATTTACCCATATGTGTGGTGTGTGTGTGTGTGTACTAATGTCGAGCATTTTTTATACATTTTCTATTAAATTTAGATAAAAGTTGCAGGATTTCGAAAAAGAAAAAGTTGACACAGACTTTTTCCTAAACGGCGATTTTCAAGGTTATTTAAAGGTCACTTATATTTTCAAAATAGAATTACCTTAATTTTTCTCATATAAATCGATTCCTCGCAATATTTACTATAAAAAGTTGTAAAGGTATAATTTTTACATAATCTTACATAAACTTCGAAATATTACAAATATTTTATTCTATGAAATATTTCAGTTTATGTAAATTATGTTAACTATCTTTTAAATTATTCACTTTTAGCCATCTTACCCTTACAACCTTTTATAGTGAATATTGCAACAAATTGGTTTATATATATAATATATATATAACATCAGTTATTATTAATTGATGTTTACATTTATTTTTAGACTTACTAGAGCTCTAATGCTCCACATTTTTTGCAAAAACTGTTTATTCTACAGATTTCAAATATGCTTTTAAATGATGATTGAATATTTCCTTTTTTTAATTATTTTTATTATTATTTTTCAATCTCAATCAACTTTTATAACTTTATGCCAGCACGATACAAATACATGTGTCTTTATTTTTTTATTATTTTCATTATTATTTTTCAATCTCAATCAACTTCTATAACCTTATGCCAGCAGGATACAAATACATGTATGTCTTTATTATTGTATCAACTCTTGTCTTTTCCATGTAACCATGTCTTCATAGTTTGAATTATCCCTTCATCTTCTCAATCTTTCGCAGAGATTTAATTAATTAAATACACTTCACACGAAATAAAGTTTGCTGGAAGATATACAGCAAACGATAACTGTAAAAACATGATTACGTGGAAAGAACAAGAGTTGGTACAGTAAAGGCAAGTAAGTAAGTACATGTAATGTATCGTATTGGCATAACGCTATATCCGCGGAGCAGATAATGTGGCTGTAGAGGTAGTCTGCAGTGCAGCTAATGTGGACGTAGATGTTGATTGAGATAATTGTCTAATATAAAATAGAATTAAAAATTTAGTTTAAAAAGCTGTTGCATATATAAATAAAGTTTATTTTTTCTAAATTTGGAATATGTTTAATTAATTAATTTTTAAGTTTATGTTTAATAAATTTTTTAAGTCTGTATTCAATAATTTTATTCATTTGATAAATACATGTATGTCTTTATTTTGATATGTTTAATATAATTAGAAATTCATTATTAATTAGATATGTGTGTGTGTAATAAAGAGAGAGATAGATAGATATAGAGAGAGAGAGAAAGAGAAGAGAGAGAGAGAGAGAGAGAGTTAGGTTAGCCACATAACCCCTGTACGCTGCCGATCATGAATGTACTAAATAAGTACACAAGACGAACAGTGAGTGAGTGAGTGAGAATGAGAGAGTTGTGTGTGTGTTCGTGTGTGTGTGATCAAGAGAGAGAGAGAGAGAGAGAGAGAGAGAGAGAGAGAGAAACCAGAGAGGAGAGACGAGAGAGAGAGAGGTACGAGATTTCTTTATGTGAGCAGAATGAGAATGAGAGATGTGAGAGACGAGAGAAGAGAGATGAGTGAGAAGAGAGAGAGAGAGATGAGAGCGAGGAGGTGAGAGAGAGAGTCTGAAGAGAGAGAGAGAGAGAGAGAGGAGAGCCGAGAGAGAGAGAGGGGAGAGAGAGAGTGGAGCGAGGAGTGCGGAGATGGGAGAGGGAGAGAGAGAGAGGGGGAAGAGGGAGAGTGGGAGAGAGAGATGAGAGAGAGAGAGAGAGAGAGAGGGAGAGAGAGAGAGAGAGAGAGAGAGAGAGAGAGAGAGAGGAGAGAGAGAGAGAGAGAGTTAGCCAACATAACCGCACGCTGCCGATATGGCGGAGCGCCACTATCGCCATCTGTTGTAAAACGTGCGAGATGGACAAAATTACCACTACATGCATCTTGCATGTGTTGTGTACGTGTGATATATGTGTGCGCATGTGTTGTATACGTGTGAATACGTGTAGCACGATACTACTATGTATGCGTGGTCGATGATGATAATGATGATGATAATGATGATGATAATGATGACGGGGACGTTTCTTAATAGAAATTTTTCATATTTCGACTTTGCATTTATATATCTCTGCTTACAAATCACGTAGAGCAGAAATAAAGACACTTTTATTATATAATTCGAACTCAATCTATCGATTAAGTCTAGTATAAACTCGATTGCTTCAGCCATTATTGAGGATTCGAAATATTATAAAGACTCAAATGTCCGACTCGCGTTAAGATACACGGTGTCTCCGCTACGCCCTTAACTGGTCGCGAGACACTACCGTGTCTCTGATTTATAGGGGGTGATTGCCATCTCGATACATTGTTCGCTCTTGCGGTCCCGAGAATTTGTCTTGCGGAAAGAAGACACAGCGTGGATTCCGCCCCTGCGGAAATCTCAATCTTCCGCATCCAACGCGCGAAGGTGGATGAATCATTCCTCTTTGCTACGAGTAGACGCATTAAATCGCAAACTGCGCCGGAGCATACACACACACACAGGGTTATATATATTCCTCGAATCGAATGCCAGATTGCAGCTGCGTTCTCGAAATACAGATCTGATAGGCGAGATATTTCACCGATAGGCCGTCAATTGCACGAAGGTCTTTTTTGTCGAGGGAAATGAAATATATTTATATTCGCGTTAATAAAATGCAATAATAAATGATATTTAAGCTCTTTTCGAGAGACGTGTTTAAAACATGTTATTTATCTCTTATTGCAAAATAATATGATAATTGTATGATTTTATATTTATGATTATAGAAGTATATTTAAAGTGCACTCTTCTGTTAATTTTCCAGTTTTGCATATGTCACGTATTATCATGTATTAAACAATGAAATAACTCTTCAACCGTTTATCTCGTCCAGATGTTACATCACATTGACAACAGCTCTTCATTTATATCGCGGTGGAAGTCCAAAGGGACCTGCGGGTACTGGAAAAACTGAAACAGTAAAAGACCTTGGAAAAGCGCTCGGTTTCAATGTAATCGTACAAAATTGTTCAGAAGGATTGGATTATAAAAGTATGGGTAGATTATTTTGCGGATTGTCGCAATCCGGCGCCTGGGGATGCTTTGATGAGTTCAACCGGTAAATATTCTTGAAGCTTACATTATTATCACGCGAGTGAAAATTTAAGAATCTTTTATCCAAATAAAATCTCACTCGAAACGCATGATTATTGTTTGAGAATTAAACAACGTGCGTACAAAAGAAAAGACATAAAATTTATATATATATATATATATATATATATATATACATGTATATTTATATTATTTATTTATTATATCTAAAATATTAATAAAAAATATGTTTGTAAATTTTAATTTTGAAGAGTTACTTAATTTTTCACAAACGAGAAACTTTTTATACTTCTACTTAATGTGGAAGAAAAAGATTGTAGAAAAGGAACGCAAAAGATCTGAAGAAATGAATTCTTTCGTAATCGCAGAATTAATGTCGAAGTGTTATCAGTAGTAGCGCAACAGATACTATCGATATTGACCGCCCTCGCTCAGAGACTTACGAGATTCATTTTCGACGGCGCCTCTATAAATCTGGTGCACACCTGCGGCATCTTCATCACAATGAATCCTGGTTACGCCGGACGTACCGAACTTCCAGACAATTTAAAGTCCATGTTCCGGCCAATCTCGATGATGGTGCCGGACAGTACCATGATTGTTGAAATCAACCTGTTTGGCGAAGGGTTTCAAAACACACTTGTGTTAGCCAAAAAGGTTACTCAAAGTTATAATTAATTTGTAATCTCTTAATATCATACTATAAATGATTTTTTATTACCTCTCAAAATTTACTAATTTAAATAATTATTTTATTTATTATTCAAGAAATTTTAACATCAGAATTTGTTGGAAATTGTGCATAATTTACAATTTGCTTTTCTTCTTGTAGATCTTTACCTTATACTCTCTCGCTCAGCAGCAGCTAAGTAAACAGCATCATTACGACTTTGGTTTGCGAGGTATAGTAACACTAACTCGATACGCTGGTAAAAAGAGAAGGCTATATTCCAATTTACCCGACGACGAAGTAATTATTTATTTTCTTCATTATTTTTAAAATCACCCAAAACGTCGATTATTATTAATGATGCTTGAATAATTTTTAAATTACTTGTACTGTTTTATATTCCAAGTAATGCAAAATCATATATGTTACAATACCATAAATTTGTATCAGCCAAGTTAAATTTTGTCTAGATAATTATTCTCGCCATGAAAGATATGAACGTCGCCAAACTTACCTCGGATGATCTACCGCTATTCCTCGATATTATTACGGATCTTTTCCCCAACGTAGACGTATCCACCGTGGATTACGAGGAAATTATCAGTTATATAACCAATGAGGCAATCAAGTTGAAGCTGCAGGTAATCTACTTAGGGAGGATATAACGTATAATTTCAACGATTCTACTTGCTGGAAGGCGCCGACGTTCTCGTTTTTTACGGCCGCACCACGGCCCTAAAGGCATTTATCGAGAAATTATTCGTGCCGATCTAGCGTTTATAAATATATTAACGTGTATATATTAAATTGCGCTCGCGTATCCATCTCTCAGATAATTTTTCCTTTAGAATTTAATCTTCGGCGAAAAGAGTTATTGATATTGTTCGGATAAATCGTCTTCCTAGCTATACCTCGCAAGAATTAATTAATCGCTCTAAATTATTCTAGCCGATTCCAATGATGGTGACAAAAGTCATCGAGCTGTACGAGACAAAGAGCTCGCGTCACTCAACGATGATTGTCGGCGTGTCAAACACCGCAAAAACCGCAACGTGGAAGATTTTACAGAATACGATGACGACAATGAAGAGCGATGGAAAGCCGGGCTTTAACACCGTTCACGTATATCCCATTAATCCTAAGGCACTAAGTCTCGGTAAACTCTACGGCGAGTACAATCTTTCTACCGGAGAATGGCTCGACGGGGTGATATCGTCCATCATGCGGAAAACTTGTTCCGGTAAAGCGCTTGATTGATTACAATGTAATATGTGTAGTGTAATAAGTATGTCACGCGTTATGGATATATGACGTTAGAGACGAATACAATGAATTCTGTAATGTTCTGTGACAAAATATCTGTTACGTTATGCATAAGAGATATCTATCTTAATTTATGTATTTTTATCAAAAGCAAAAATTAAAAATACTTTGCATTACGAGTAATATTTGTATTATCATAAATAATATATTTCTATATGTATACACATATACGTATATTATACAAATATTATATATATATATATATATATATATATATATATATATAATAAATAAAATCAGAAGAATAGAGAATATAAGCAAAATTATTAGAATAGAAACTTATTTCCTTAACGTGATCTGTATTCTATATAAAATATGCTACTGTGTAAAATTCAATGTTCTTTTGACAGAAGATACCGCCGATGAGAAGTGGATCCTCTTTGACGGACCCGTGGACCCTGATTGGATTGAAAACATGAACAGCGTCATGGACGACAACAAGGTATACTTGGTCCATTCTTTGCTGATACTTTTCGATTTACTCCTTGAACTGAAATTGCAAGGCCAATCAACGCGTTCCTAGAACTAAGAACTTCGCGTTTCAAGGTACTGACGCTGATAAATAATGATCGCATCACTGTACCCGATCAAGTGTCGTTGCTCTTTGAAGTGCAAGACTTAGCTGTCGCCTCTCCAGCGACGATCTCGAGAGTAGGTATGGTTTATAACGATTACAAGAGTCTCGGCTGGCGTCCGTACGTCGATTCGTGGTTACAAAAGTATAGCGCAAGACCGGAGTTTGTCGAGGAGGTGAGACAAATCGAATAATTCTGCACGATCCGACGGAATGTACATTTCATTGCTTTTCAATCAGATGAATCAGCTGTTCGAGAGCCACATTAACAGCACGTTGGAATTTAAGCGGAAGAATTGCGAGGAACTCGTGCCTGTTCACGAGTTAAACGCCATTCAGTCGCTCTGCAAATTACTGGAAGTACTCGCGACACCGCAAAACGGTGTGGAATTAGGCGAAGATCGCGCTGCCTTTTCCATAATATGCAAAATATGGTTTTTCTTCTGGTGAGTAAAAGTATTTTTATTTTTTAAAGACGCATTTCAGATGTATTTCAAATATTGCGTAGGATTGCGTTTCGGTGAGATACATAAGTTACAGGATGTACGAGAATCGTGAATTTATAAATCGTATCTCCAACCGATACGGAATATTATAGTCGTCACCTTTGGGCATTTTGAATTAATATTAATATTGTAGTTCTCCAGTGGTTTACACAAGTTGTATTAAACTATAATGTGCAAGTTCTAAGCCAATGACATGATAATGATAGTCAAGAGCGCACTAAATAATTATATTCAATGTCATGTTACAGCATGGTATGGTCATTGTGTGCCTCGGTCGATGAGAAAGGTCGTCAGAAGATGGATAATTTCATAAGAGAAATCGAAAGTTCCTTTCCGCTGCGGGACACAGTTTACGAGTATTACGTGGATACACGTCTGCGTACTTTCATTTTATGGGAGGAAAAATTATCACAGGCTTGGAAATTTCAACTTGGGTAAATGTAGATATTTATGGAAATTCGGGGTCACGAAATTCTGATATTTCTTAAAAAGTTTAAAATTACCAATTATTTGAGAAGCTATATTTATAAGCGACAACCATCGACACGCGTTGATTATCGTATAACATGATTGTTTAATTAAGATCAGAATATCCTAAATTCGGTCGAAATCTCATATCAAGTCGTACATATTCAGGTCAAATCATTCAAATTACGTTATATCATATTCAATCACATCCATATATTTTCGAGGAAATCGATAACTGCCGATATCATCTCTTAAGAGAAGTTGTGTGTGTGCGGCTAGTATATCCTGAGTTAATTTACAGCCTGCCATTCTACAAGATAATAGTACCTACTGTGGACACGATACGATACGATTACGTCGTGAGTTCCCTCCTATCGAATGGTTTTCCGGTGCTCGTAGTGGGTCCGGTGGGTACAGGAAAAACGTCTAACATCCACTCGGTACTTGAGCTCCTAGACGACACGAAGTACGCCGTTCTACTTGTAAACATGTCGGCACAAACTACATCCAATAACATACAAGTATGGCTCTGAGCATGTATCAAATGGATAATAATTTTAAATATTGAATGAACGTTTTATACCGAGGCTTCTCCCTTGGCTTATAGGATGCAATAGAAAGCAGACTGGAGAAACGAACGAAAGGTGTTTACATTCCCACGGGCGGTAAGACTCTGATCACTTTCATGGACGATTTTAATATGCCCATGAAAGAGAAATACGGCTCGCAACCGCCGTTAGAATTAATTCGACAGTGGATTGATTACGGATTTTGGTAATATATTTAATCATAATTTAACACATAAAAAACATAAAAGAATAGTATATAAATAAAAAATAACGAATTAATAACGTGTGTAAGAGAAACGTAACAGAGATATTATATTGGAATATTTAACAAAACATTGCAACAAATGAAAAAATATTATCGACAGGTTCGATCGCCAGAAGCAAACAAGAAAGTACATTCAAACAATACAATTAATAGCAGCGATGGGACCATCCGGCGGAGGCCGCAACATCATTACGGATCGACTACTTACGAAATTTAATATCATTAATATGACTTTTCCATCTGAGAAACAAATTATAAGAATCTACGGCACAATGCTAAATCAGCAACTTTCCGAATTTCATGCTGAAGTAAAAGGAATATGTAAGTATGCGAGATAAAATTAATTACGTCCAATTAATTATTATATAAAGTGACTTTTTTTATCTGTTTTAGCAAATGACATAACACTTGCCTCGATCAAACTTTACAATCACGTAATTCAAAAGATGCTTCCCACTCCATCCAAAATGCATTACTTATTTAACTTAAGGGATATATCAAAGGTAAAAAAACTCTAAAATTAAAAATTGACGAGCAACCGGCAGAAAGTAGATATGTGAACGTAAAGATGATACAGGTACAAAAATTGGTATTGATCCTTCGACAGGTCTTCCAAGGGCTGCTGCGCAGCCATAAGGACTATCAGTATTCGAGACAGACTTTTCTGCGATTGTGGGTTCACGAGAGTTTCCGAGTTTTCTGCGATCGGCTTATTGACGAGAAGTAAGCGCTCAAGAGGCATTAACTTAATTTGGCCCGGAATACGGGTGAAAAAAAATGCTGAGCAATTTCTTTCAGGGACAGAGAGTGGTTCGTGACTCAGTTGAACGATCAGCTCGGGAAGCACTTTGAGTTGACCTTCCATAATGTCTGTCCGGAGAAAAGATGCCCTATTTTTGGTAAATATGCACTGGATATATTGGAATGCAATCTTTTCATTTCAGCTAATATAAATATACTCTTTCATTGATGCGTTTGTCAATAATAATATTAATAATCAGTACATATTTTTAATATTATAGGTATATATATATATATATATATATATATATATATATACAGGGTGTCCGGTAACTAACGGACCAACGATTACAAGTGGATTCTTTGGTCAATCAATTTGGGAACGATTTTTCCTCAGCGAAAATGTCGAAAAGGGTCATCATTTTTTACAGCTTTCCAATATTTGTCATTATGTATCTTTATAACTAAGCCTCAAATTAAAATTTTATTATAGTAAAACTCTACCTGAAATTAACTGAAGAATGTAATTATGTTAGACTTTTAACGTTTAGTTTTCAAAAAACCCATTTTTTTCAATCGCTTATAACTCGAAAATTATTGACTTTCCAACATTTTTGCTAAGGAAAAATCGTCTCCAAATTGGCCAGAGAATCCGCCCTTAATCATTGGTCCGTTAGTTACACTGTACCGGACACCCTGTATATATATATATATATTTATATACACATTTTTTTTATATTGAATTAACATTTGCAGGTAGTTTCATGAATGCTTGGAATATATACGAAGATCTCTCGGATATCGGTGCCGTAAGGCGTTACATGGAAGAACAGATGGACGAGTATAATGCTTCTCGTGGCGTGGTCCGCCTCGATCTCATCCTGTTCCGCGATGCGATTGAACATGTATGTCGCATCGTTCGTGTAATATCGCAGGTTAGTGATTCGCATCGCGTGCTTTATAACAATGAACATTCTATTCATATTCTAACGATATGTATTATTATGATTATAAAGTATGTGTATATTTTTACAGTATATTTACAAAAATTGATTATTAATTTTAAATAATAATTAACAAAAAACAAATATATAATATATATATATAATATAAAATAATATATATTATTTCGGATCTATATTTTTCTCTCGCACTTTATTTCTTTAGGGGGAATAGGGGATACATGGAATTAAAAATCTCTTGTAGAGATTATTCCAATTTTATATCTTGGCCGTGTCCAAGTAAAAATTTGGTGCCTTGTGCACAGGTATTTAATTCTAACGAAAAAATTTAGTTTCGTTTAGAATAACGCACTGTCATCCGCGATTTGGCTCTTATTGCCTATCTTATATATGTTAAATTTATATTTATATATTACAGAGCCTAGTTAAACTCTTAATATATTATTTCATTATATATATATATATATATATATATATTATAATATATAATATATGTATATATATATTAAGCAAATCTGATAATTGTAATAATGTTCTTTTACAGCCTCACGGTAATATCCTTCTGATTGGAATTGGTGGTAGTGGTAGACAATCGCTTTCACGTATTGGCAGTTACATGTGCGATCTGTCCACCTATCAAGTTGCCATTACGGCACAATATAGGATACCGGAATTTCGTGAAGATCTCAAGACTCTGTACTCAATGGTCGGGGTGGAGAACAAACCGACTAGTTTCCTCTTCAACGATACCCAAGTGGTGGAGGAGCAGTTTCTGGAGATTGTCAACAATATGCTGAGTACTGGCGAAGTGGCTAATCTCTACAAGAGCGACGAAATGGAGAACGTAAGTCGGTTAATACGCCATTATTTCATATCCATTTGGATAATAATCCGCGACGCTACTTGATACATAATAAAGCGCGTTCTACGCGCGGAAAAGATAATCAGCAAAATTGAAAACTCACAAAAGTACCATTTTCAACTGCTCATGAAATTTATATTTTGTTTGATTATTTTTACTGTCTCAATTTTTGATATTTTGATATTTTAAAGCTAAAAATGTTTTTGTATTATTCAGAATGCAAAAGTTTTTAAATCAATTAATTGTATATATAGACATACAAATGTATATTAAATTTTATATTAATTTACTTTCAAAAGGATTGTAATTAAAAATTATCGGATTACGCACAAGAGTTGCAAAAATACAAAATACAAAACACATAAATTTAATTTATTAGTAAGAAATGCTTATAAAGTTCTTTCAAAAATATGTAAAATGTTTTTTTTTCACAATGTACATAAGATTTTCATATCTATTACACTAAATACAGAATTGTGTAAATAAATAACATAGATTAGCAAATTTATTTAAATAATTGATTGTATTTATCAAGAGTATAATTTAAAATATAAAAAAATAACATAGAGGATCATGTGTGCACGTGTATGCATCAGAGAAAGAGAAATATATACACACACGTGTTAGAGCAGATAGTTAAAATTTTACTATCATAAATTGCATTTGTACAATGATTCAAATAAGCAAAAATATGATCAGTTCCAAAGCGAGCCGTCGCAAAATATGGATATATTGTGTTTCACCAGATTAAAAATAGATTATCGAAGGAAGTAACGAAGGCTGGAAAGATACCAACAACGGAGACGGTATATTGCTTTCTGATTGAGAGGGCGCGTGCCAATATGCATTTGATCCTGTGCATGAGCCCGATCGGCGATGCCTTCAGGAACAGATTACGGCAGTATCCTTCCCTGATCAATTGCACGACCATCGATTGGTTCTTGGAATGGCCGAGAGAAGCTCTCCTCGAAGTTGGCAACAAGTTCCTCATGAATCTCAATCTGACGCTCACTATCACCGGCGAAAATAAAGTGGTGAGTACGCCTTTCCCCTTTCCGCGCGATCGATTCCATTCGATTCGATTCTTACGATCAACGCGCGTTTCCTACCACCAATCTTCCACCCTCTCCTGCTCTGTCCTTCTTGCCGACCATTTCGGCGAATCCGATTATTTTCCCATCTACGGTTTGCCTCACGCTGATGATACGGCCGTCTGGCGCATTTCTTTTCTTTCGACCGAAGCTAAGATTGGTCGCTTGGATCCCGCACGAGAATGCTCTCAGATATATTCATCATTTGTTTCACAAAGATATTCAAGATGCTTTGTACATTGTTGTATTTCTTTATATTCTTCGAATCGTATTCGAAATTACATAAAATTACGCAAAAGTGTTAACGCAGTCGAGTAAGTACTTAAGTTGATTTAAAAATGTGGTCTAACACTATTGATTTGATAACATTTTTCTATTTTTGTTTCGAATATAGATAAAATTGTTGCAAAGAGTTTTTTTCTGTATCTGTAAAAGAATCTATTTTTACGCGATGCCATTCTCAGATTATCAATTCATTTATACAGCTACTTTGACACTCTTGGTGCTATTACAAGTCATAAAATAAAGATATTTTCTCGTTTTGAAATATTCGAATAAAAATTTGCATTGAATAATTACTTACTCGGACTGATTAAATGCAATTAAATTTATAATGTAGAGAATATTAAACACGCGCGCACATTAAAATATACACACATCATAAGAAATCGTTGCTAAACCCGATGATATGAGCGCGCTTTGTACGGAATCATTTTATTATATTCGTATGCGCAAAGCAAGAGGATACGCAGCCAGTTAAAAAATTCACAATGCAATCGTAACGAGCACGAGCGTTATGAGGATGCACTTTTCTGCAGGAACCACGGCAGTCCGCGACAGCTATTCCATTGCCACCGTTACAGGACCGAATGCGCGATGGAATTGCAGCATCATTCTCTTTGATCCACGACACGGTGTCCCAGTTCTCTCGCAGAATGGCCGCCGAAATGAAACGTTACAATTACGTGACTCCCGTGAATTTTATCGAGCTCGTAATCAGTTACAAAGAGTGAGAATTAAATAAATGCGAAAGCATCAGAATCTATTCTCCATGCAGAAATTAAAATTATACAAAATAATTACACGTAATATAATTAATGTGTATAGTTAAATTTACTCTCTTTACGAAAGATTTTTCTTAATACTTTCATCGAAATATAAGATCACGCTACACTGTATTCGTATCACGCAGGATGTTGGCAGAAAAGCGACAAGATTTAGCAGACCAAGCGAACAAACTTCGCGGCGGCCTCTCGAAGATCGACGATACTCGGGTGAAAGTTAAAGAAATGGCGGCGGAGCTCGAAGTCACTCAGCAGCAAGTTCATAAATCTACGAGAGAGTGCGAAGAATTCCTCGTAACGATAGGTACACGGCGCACGCGACAGTGATATATTATCAGCGGCATTTATCAGATTAATCTATAAGAACTTATTGCTTTTAACGCGCACGAGAGCTTGTGTTGGTTCTAACTTTCCTCGAGCGCACTTAATTAATCATACGGTATTCATACTTGCACCATGCATCGCTTTTAACTGTGCTTGCGACGCGCAGTAAACCAACGTCGCGATGCCGATGAAACGCAGAGACAGGTCACCGCCAAATCGCAACGTATAGCCGAGGAGCAAAAAGAATGCAAGAAGCTCGAGGAGCTCGCACGAGCTGATCTAGCAACCGTCGAACCTGCTTTGAACGAAGCTATGAAGGTGGTTATCGAATCATTCTCCACAATCAAATTTACTCGGCTTCAAACCATTTCTTTGTTCATTCTCTGCTTTGACATATGTATCATCGCATTGTATATACGTATTTTTAAATTTCATTTTGTGATATATGTAACAAAGTGATGATTCTCTTGAACTCTTTTCGCCACTATAAATATGCAATGTTGAGATTTTATTCTGTTACTCAATTTTTATTGTCGACAAATTTACATGATCGAGAGAAAGAGAGAGCAAAGAAAAAGATATGCTTTATTATTCTACTCAATAATTTATTTGTTAAAAATATTTTATCAAACATTTTTGAAAACATTTAAAAATTTTTCAACTTATCAAAAAATTAAAAAAAAAACAAATGCAGTAAAGATTTAATATACATTGAACATTATGTTATAACGAAACGTTGTTGACGGTTTTTTTAGGCATTAGACGCTTTGAGTAAAAAAGATTTAGCTGAAATTAAATCCTTTACGCATCCACCGCCAAAAGTCGAGATGGTGATGGAAGCCGTGATGATTTTAAAAATTCAGAACCGACGTGGGCAGAAGCGAAACGCCAACTTAGTGACGTAAACTTCATTAATACGGTAAGCGACAATATTGCGACTGGGATACATATAACACTATGTTCATATTACTCGTTCCACAAACTAACTTACTCTGATTTGATTTCCAGCTTCGAGACTTCGACAAAGATCATATATCGGACAGAGTTCTACGAACAATAGCCAAGTACACATCCAATCCTGAATTCGATCCTATAAAGGTCGGCGTAGTATCTATTGCAGCTAAGTCACTTTGCATGTGGGTGATAGCTATGGAAAAGTACGGCCAACTATACAGGTAGATCAAAATTTCGTATAATACGTGTATATATATATATATATATATATATATATATGAGAGAGAGAGAGAGAGAGAGAGAGAGAGAGAGAGAGAGATGGATCTCCTTTTCATTTTTGCTTTACATTTTAAATACTTATGTGATATTTATATAATTAAATATATTTTTTAATATTTTTAAAATTTTGAGTTCTTTTACGTAGCGACAATTGTTATTATTTAATTAATCGATCACCTAATCATGTTATTCATCTTTCGTTGTGAATAAAAATCTAATTGTACTACCTTTACAATGCGTTGCAGAATCGTGGCACCGAAACGGGAAAGACTACAGATCGCGTTAGAGTCGTTGAAGCAAAAGGAAATGGCCTTAGAGGAGGCAATGCAGCAGCTGCAAAACTTACACGAGCAGCTCAAGAGATTACAACGAATGTACGACGCTAAGATGAAAGAAAAGGAGGATTTGATTAAGCTGGCGAGTATACCCATGTTTCTTGCACTTTAAAACACTAGAAATGACCTCACATAAAGGCGAAAAGGGACAAATCGATAAAAGAAGTCGGTCCGATTGAACTACGTGCGTCCACTCAATAACGCTTACAGACACATAAATTTGTATCTTGCAGAAGCCTGCATTCGCTCAGTTTGCATGGGCAAAAGATATTCCTACAAGGAAATTTTTTATCCATAAATTTAGTAAAATCTATATAGCAAAATTTTATAAATAAATTAAAGTATTAAATACAGTAAAATCTCCGATCTTTAATATTTGCGTGGTAATAGTATTTTAATACAATAATAACAGAAATATATACAAGTCATTTTTTATTAATTGATAAAAGAAATATATATTTAATAAAGATAATATTTGTTTGAATTTTGTTTTCTCTGTTGATAATAAAAAATCGTATTTTGTGCATTTGCTGAAATATAAATTTTAAGTACTTTTTTCTCATTCTGCTTTTCAGGCTGAATTGTTAAAGCTGAAACTAGAGCGTGCAGCGATGTTGGTGGATGGCCTTTCCGAAGAACGTATTCGATGGGAAAACACAGTAGCGTCATTAACCGAATGTTTCGAGTGGCTGCCAGGGGATTGCTTGATATCTACTGGATTTGTGTCGTACTTGGGACCATTTGTGTCCAATTATAGGCAGGAACTAATAAATATTTGGTCCAAGGAAGTAAGTTCGAGAATCATTCTTCGAAACTTTTTCTCATAATTTTGAAAATTGTAAATTGCAAATTTCCTATGCAGAGTTCGCAAATTAATGAACTACATATTTTACATGTGACTTTAATCAACAAGAATCATCACTTCCAATCAACTAAAAAATTAATTATTTGCTAGATATCTTATGCATTTTTTATATTTTTATTTTGACATAAATGATTGATTCTTTTTACTTTTTTTTTAAATATACAGATTAATGTTTAACTTTATCGAATGATTAAGGTGCGAGATAAGGAGATACCGACATCGCCAAATCTAGATGTGAAGGAGTTCCTAGCTGATCCGTCGACAATCAGGGAGTGGAACACTCAAGGATTACCATCCGATGGATTTAGCACGGAGAACGGCATCATAGTAACGCGAGGAACACGTTGGCCTCTCATAATCGATCCACAATGTCAAGCGGTGAAGTGGATAAAAATATGGAGACGAAAAACGTAAAAAAAAAAATGTTTGATATACACATTCTATCAAAGAAACTAATATCCCTTTAGCAATATCGATTATTGGCTTTAATGTAAAATTAAATAACTAATTTGAGAGATAAAACGATTTTAAATAAAACCAATAAAATCTGAGAATTCTTTGCCATTTTTATGTAACGATTATAATCGCAGTCACTGAGAGTAATCGACTTTGGTCAAGCGAACTTTATGAAAGTTCTGGAACAAGCAATTCAGTTCGGTACGCCAGTACTGCTTGAAAATATCGGAGAGACCCTTGATCCAAGCTTGAATCCGCTACTCCAAAAAGCTTTCATTAAATCAGGTAAAATTTAACATCAATAGAATTATATTCGCTTAATTGTATTACATTTATGAGGAAATTATAAAAATGCTTTAATTGTCAAAATTAAAAGGTATTAAATAATCAATAATAACTTTCGTTTATTGTTAGATTGTTAAATTAGTTAATTGAATAACGCAGGAAAAAGGAATAACTGAGATATCTGTAATAAAATATTTAACAACATTAATATATTTTTAATAATATTTTATCATGCTCGAATGCGCAATTAATTTGTTTGTAAAATAAGAATAACATTCAGCATAAAAGACAACAATTAACACCAATTTTTAAAATTTTACTTCCAATTTTTATCATTCTATTTCTTTAATGTTATAGGAGATCAAATAATGATCAAATTTAACGATAAAATAATTACTTACAATGATCAATTCCGGCTGTTTATGACTACAAAGCTCTCGAATCCCCACTATGCCCGGAGATTTCAACTAAAACGACATTATGCAACTTTGCCATTAAGGAGCAGGGTAACTAATAGTCTTACAGTATATACTTTAGAGAAAGATGGAACAAGATTAGGGAATATAACTCTGTCCCGCATGTAGGTCTCGAAGCGCAGCTTCTCGGAATCGTGGTGAGGAAAGAGAAGCCGCAGCTCGAAGAACAGAAAGACAATCTGGTACTTACAATTGCATCCGATAAACGGACTCTCAGAGAACTAGAAGATAAAATACTTCAGTAAGATCTACGAAAATTCCTCAAGCTTTTAACGTTCAAGCGTTCAATTCCTCAAGCTTTTTGCTTTAAAGTACAACCGCGATACGCTTTATTCTGTATATATTATAATAATTAAATACAAATGTATATTTTATTATTCATTCTTAATATAATTTACAAGTAATTAAACTACAACAATTACCAAAATATATAAATATATTTATTTATCAGTTTACTCAGCGTGGCGGGAGAAACTCTTCTAGACGATCCAGATTTACTGAATACTTTGCAAACATCAAAGGCAACATCTATCTCTATTCAAGAGTCTCTAGCTGTTACTGAACAGACAGAAAAAGAAATAGATTTAGCGAGAGAAGGATATCGATCATGCGCGAAACGTGCCTCGATTCTTTTCTTCGTTTTAAACGACATGAGCATCATCGATCCCATGTATCAGTTTTCCCTCGTTGCATACAACGCACTGTTTATGCTTTCTATTGATAAAAGTTCTAAAAGAACAAAATTGTCTGAGAGAATTGATCATCTGAACGAATATCACACATATGCAGTTTACAGGTATAATTACTTAATTACATACGTACAGAAAGAAAGAGTTTTGTCTTTAAAAATTTTCTCTATTCTTTATTGATAAATAATTTGCGACTTAAGCTCTATTACTAAAAACAATTTTTTTATTTTATTGACGTTTGATATTAAATTTTATTTAAAAAGAATAATTAATTTTTTCTCTTAGTACTTATATAATACTATTTTAAACGATAATACATTTCGAACAAATTTTTCAAAATTAATTTAAAAGAGAATATATGTGTATAGTTTAAAAATAATATATGATTATATATATATATAATCCTTACAAAAAATTTTAATGAAAATTATGTCTTATTATATTTTTATCAGTCTTATCATTCACGCGATATTATAAATCAATAATATTTTATGAAAAATGTGACGAAACTTGAAATACACACGCACACATTTGACGTGATATAACTATTATAATCTTTTTACTGTTTTTACTATGCAAATATTTAAAAACAGTGAAGAAATGTATGATTTTAAAGAAAAATAATATGGATTTTATTTTTACGGATAGGAACACATGCCGAGGTCTGTTCGAGCAGCACAAGCTACTCTTTTCTTTTCACATGTGCGTCAAGATATTGGATGCGCAGGGTAAAATCATCCCGAGAGAATACGCGTTTCTGCTCCGCGGCGGAATCGTAGTGGACCGAGAAAATCAGCCGGACAAACCCGTGTCGTGGTTGCCGGATGAAACTTGGGACAATGTCACTGAACTCGACAAGCTGCCCGGATTTCACGGAGTCGTTTCTTCTTTTGAGCAGCTCCCGCGTGATTGGCACAATTGGTGCGTACAATGTCATGTTATTTCGCTTCAGCCTTTTTTGACAAGTCATTTTCACAGTACTCTTCTTTTCTTTTTTATATTTAATTTACGTGTGTAATTGCAATAATAAACATATATGTATATTTGTATAGAAATCAATCTATTTATCAAAAATATTGTAAAATAACTAAATTAAACATAAATATAAATATATGTTAATTATCTTTTCTTTATATCTTTTAAATTTTATTTTAATTATAATGATAAAGCTACGATATTAAAGAAAATATATTTTATAATCATCTGTTTAAATCATATTAATGTCTGTTAGAAATATTTTGCGTAAATACATTTCTATATATGTAATGTTATCAATCTCTTTAATATCTAGGTACATCAGCACAGAACCGGAAACTGTACCGCTAGTAGGCGAATGGGAGGAAGGGTGCACTGAGTTTCAGAAAATATTATTCGTTCGCAGCTGTCGACCTGACAGAATATCCTTCTGCATTACGACCTATATCGTTCGCAATCTCAGTCAAAGTTTCGTGGACCCTCCTGTACTTGACCTAAAAGCAGTCTTAAATGATTCTGTAGCACAGACACCACTGATATTCGTCCTTTCACCTGGCGTGGATCCTACTGGCATTCTCACGCAGTTAGTTGACAGTCAAGACATGTCTGCTAAATTCACGACATTATCACTAGGCCAAGGACAATCTTCTATTGCCACGAGGTTAATTATAAATTAATTGTAAAATTTTGTATATTTATATAATAAAATTGTGATATTTAAGATACCTTAAATTTTAGAAACAAGTGAAACCTGAATCCTTTTTTTGTATTTTATATTTTTATATAGTTTTATTAACATAAAAAAATTGTCAAACTAGTATATTAATGAAAAAGATGTTCAAAATTAAAATATATGTATGTATATAGTAGTTATGTAAAAATTACTCTGAGTTTCATATTCTTTTGTTCTTTACGCAGCTTGATAGAAGTCGGTGCCAAAGAAGGATTTTGGGTATTTCTTGCGAATTGCCACCTCTCACTCAGTTGGATGCCCAAGCTCGATAATATTGTAGAAATGCTTGGTTCCAGCCAAACTTTACATCCAAGATTTAGGTATATGCCAGAGTTTTATAAAATACTATCTCATATATTATTCATACAATATCTTTTGCACATATAGTGAGCCAAAAATAATAGAAATTTTAATTTTCTTGCAATACACAAAATAAACCAAACAAATGAAAAAATTATATTTATTATGATATTGAATATGGACATTAATTATTACGATATTTAATTATAAACACAATTAAATATATTGAAATAAATGTTTCAAAAATGTAATTCTTTTACAGACTATGGCTTAGTTCAAGTCCGACTCCTCAGTTTCCTATATCGATTCTTCAAGCCGGGATAAAAATGACTACCGAGCCGCCAAAAGGATTAAAAGCCAACATGAAGCGCCTTTACGGTTTAATTACCGAAACTCAGTTCGACTTGTGCCAGGAAAAGTCCAAATATAAAAAGCTGTTATTCACACTGGTCTTCTTCCACTCTATTCTTTAGAACGAAAGAAATTCCAACAACTTGGCTGGAACGTTGTCTACAGTTTCAACGATTCTGACTTCGAGGTATTTTCGAGCAAAAGTTGCGAGCGGCATATACGTTGTAGAAAGACTTTTTTTATTGATTCCTTATTTATTTTACTATAAGCACAGAAAGATATCTCACAATCAGAAGTTTCTCGAAAATCAAGTCAGCACTCCTCACGGCGTTTAAATTCATTTCATCAAAGTGACGCTCGATGATAAAGAGGCACGATTGCCATAATAGCAGGATATCTGTTCCAGGTCTCTGAGAATTTGCTGCAAGTTTACCTGGACGAATATCCAGTCACACCGTGGGAATCTTTGAAATATCTCATAGCAGGTGTTTGCTATGGTGGTCACGTGACCGACGACTGGGATCGCCGTTTGTTGATGACATACATCCAGCAATATTTCACGGAGGACGTCCTGACTACCCCCATTATCGTTTGTCATCGCTGCCCACCTATTACGTGCCCCGCGACGGTTCCTTGGAGTCCTACCGCGACTTTATCGCGATTCTGCCGAACATCGACAGGCCGGAAGCATTTGGTCAGCATCCAAATGCGGATATCACTTGCCTTATAATGGAGACTAGAAACATGTTTGAGACTTTGATGAGTCTTCAGGTGCAGACCGTTAGTATAGAAATGTACGAGGATAAGGAGGAAAAGGTAAGTAAAAGAGCAATCGAATTTCGAGCTTTCAACATTTTCTGTTTGATTTGAAGACGTAAAGTAACGAGATATGGAAAGAAAAGTAAAAGACTTTATATCATTGATCTTACGAGGAATCTTGATATCCTGCTTTTATATTATTGACATTCCGTTATCGCAACTTCATTAATCTTACCTCCGATAATCCTGTGCTGATCTCTTGTTACAAGCGAATCTTCTTACTCAATCTTGTTGTGTCTTACAGGTAATGCAACTCGCGAGCGACATTCTCGAGAATACCGGAAACGATTGATTACGAGACAACAGAGAGGTTGATAGGACCAAATAAGACGCCGTTGGATGTGGTACTTCTTCAAGAGATTGGAGGATACAATGTGTTATTGACAAAAATCGAGACAGTCTTGAGGAACTTCAACGCGGAATTATGGGATTGGTGGTTATGTCGCGCGAATTAGAAGAAATCTTCAAGTGCATATATGAAGGAAGAGTACCGTCTCTCTGGCTGACCGCGTATCCGTCGTTGAAACTGCTTGGCGCTTGGACGAGGGATCTAATCAATCGAGTCGAGCACTTCGCCAATTGGGCTCAAACCACTCATCCGCCATTGCTCTTCTGGCTAGCTGCGTATATATTTCCGACCGGATTCCTTACCGCGGTGCTACAAACTTCGGCGAGACTCTGGAACGTATCTATCGATTCATTGTCATGGGAGTTTATTGTCTTCTCAACGGATGAGTCTGCTATAATCGAGCCGCCCATGGTAACTACGAGCGATTAGGCTAATTGCTCATCCGACCAGTTTCGGTCCTGGATCGAACATCGCTTTAACTATAAGAAGCTTACACTTCTTGCTGGATTAACGGTGCTCATTCATACAAATATCTCGTTTATGTAAATTATCCGTTCAATTATGCAATATGACTGTTCGGCTTTTGGACAAAAAAAAATAAAGATTGAAGATCTGTCATCGCCACGAATATGACTTGCTTCGAATATACAGCAGAGATATTGCTTATAATTGCACCATTATTCTTCTGATTGTCACAGATCTTTTTCGCGACACGAATGAATCGATAAATTATTATAAAGAAATTATTATAAAGAATAATATTGCTCTTATCGATTATGCAGTAAGCGATTGCATTGTAATTTTAGGACGGCGTATATATACGCTCTATTTTTCTGGAGGGTGCTGGCTGGGACAAAGAGAAAGGTATTCTCATCGAACCCGCATCTATGCAACTCGTATGCAACATGCCGGTGATTCATTTTCGACCCGTTGAACAAGTTAAAAAAAGAATCAAAGGTAAGACTAACTGTGTGTAAATGTTAAAATCATTTTACTAGAATCGAATTTTCTTCGCGCACTTGCAATAATTATTATTATTATTTAAATTATAAATACAACTTACGATAATTAAAATTAAAAGAAGCAGAGGCTTGATCACAACCAACATTCGCTTTACACTTTTACAGAATTATATCATTGCCCTTGTTATTATTATCCTCAAAGAAGCGGCGATCAAACGAGATCTGCGTTCGCCGTCGCTGTAGATCTCAAAGCTGGACCACAAGGTCCAGATTTCTGGGTGAAACGAGGAACTGGGCTTTTATTAAGCCTGACCGTATAAACTGTATGTTAATATATTTTATAATTCAAGTCTCAGTTTAATTTTAGCAATAACATGATATATTTATTTGAAATAGCGTATTATATTATTTTTTATGTTTCATTATGTTATACATAAAGATTCATTTTGGAGATTGTGTTATAGATTTCAATGTATTATGAAATTAATAAAACCTGAATGTGGATGTGAGAAATAAAAATGTATTTTACATATATTAAAAAACTAATCATTATATAACATTTGCCTTAAAAATATATAAATAAAGAAATAATAGTGTGCAATAAATAAGATTATTAGCACCATCTCTCGTGGTCCAACTGCATGATAGTGAGATGTAACACGTGGTATATCAAAAATATTACATTTTTTAATAATTTTTGTACGAAGAAAAAATATACATGATTATATTACATATTATAAATATAAAGATTTTCTACGAGTTATATTTAGAACAAATAATATTCATAAATATCATCATCTAATAATGTTACAATCTACAATCGGTATTAAAGTACCGAATACTGATACTTTCTAGTATTTGAGCACAGATTAATAGACAGATCGCCAAAGGCCTGCCTAAAGAAGAGACCGCCATCTTCGTGCGATAGACTTTGCCCCTTACCGACACACTTTGCCCCTGGTTCGAGTCCGTGCTAAATTTCGTAGACTTGAACCAAAAGACTTTGCCCCTGGTTCGAGTCCGTGCTAAATTTCGTAGACTCGACCAAAAGACTTTGCCCCTGGTGCAAGTCCAGGCTAAATTCGTTTGACATTACCAACAGACTTTGCCCCTGGTGCGAATCCAGGCTAATTGATCATGAGACCAATTTGAGAGATTTGGCCCCCGTTGTGTGTGTGTGTGTGTGTGTGAGAGAGAGAGAGAGAGAGAGAGAGAGAAAGAGAGAGAATATTTTACATATGCATATATATATATATAAAATTTATTAAATATAAAAAATATATTTTTTACACATAAAATGTTTTTTTATTGAAATAATCACGATTTTAAATGTGATATAACACAGTGTTCAAAAATTTTTAATTAAATTTTTTAATTAAATTTTATTAAAGAAAATTACTTGAAATTTTTTACATTAAGAATTTAAAGGCTCCTTATTCTCTTGTAGAAATTTATCACTACGCCAATTAATCACTTATTTCGAGTATTTAAAATACTATAATATACAGTAATTTAAGTATTCGAAATAAAAGTGATTAATTACTCGAAATAAGTGATAAATTGGCGTTACTAGTAATAAATTTCTATAAGGGTTGAAATAAAGTATAAGAGATAAATAGGCTATATGTGAGCCGTATGCGAAATGTGAGATGTAAGACGCATATTAAAATTTAATTTTTCGATATAACTTTCAAAAATGTACACGAGGTACAAAAAATTAGCTTGGACATTTGTAAGACTTAAAATTGGGATTAATTCTCAATTCTATTAATTAAATTTCGATATAACACACCTTACATCCGCGCACACATATAGCCCATTTATTAGTGCAATTTTTAAGTTCCTTATTTTTCAAAGTTCACCTTTTTACGTTATCAAATATTTTTGGTACGTTTTCAAGAATTTTATATTTTTACTTACCGCAGTTTCTTATCCAAATGTAAAATCTTTTATCGCAGTCTATAAAAAATTGAAACAATTTACAATTTTATGATATAATATTATTATTATTACAATTTCTATATATATGCACATCTGTCAAATATCGTGATTTATTTCACATTATTATTATCTATTTTAATAAAAAAAAAAACAAAAACACTTGCAACAATCAAAAATAAACCGCCTGCCGCGAACGGAAAATGCCAAGAAAGCACGCAATTTCCGCGAATCTCGTAATTTTTTTGAAAAATCAACAATTTCAACGAAATTGTAAATTCTTCAAATCACTGCACAAGTATAATTCACAATAATAATTTTCAGTAACTACGATAAAAAATCGTATACTGAAAACCGCAAACGAAAGTGCAATGGGAGTAAGAGTAAAGTCTGTGATAAAATTAATTGGCAATAGAAAATTAATAATTTTCAAATAGAAAAATTTTGAAATTACCGAGGATTTACAAATAATAAAGTAAAAATATTAAATAATTTATGTTTTCGAATTTTGCTCGCGGAGAGGATCTTTAAAACAAGATTTTTAGAAGAGAGGACCTTTAAAATATAAACAGGCAAAAACGTTGGAAAAATTAAAGCGCGCGTTTAAACAGATAAACGCAATGAAATAGATACGCAATTGTTTTTACTTATCGCTGTAAGCTCACAAGCTTCTGACGTGCTATACACTTTTATATAATATATACAGGGTGTCCGGTAACTAACGGACCAATGATTAAGGGCGGATTCTCTGGCCAATTTGGAGACGATTTTTCCTTAGCAAAAATGTTGAGAAGTCAATAATTTTCGAGTTATAAGCGATTGAAAAAAATAGGTTTTTTGAAAACTAAACGTTTTGGAGTTAAAAGTCTAACATAATTACATTCTTCAGTTAATTTCAGGTAGAGTTTACTATAATAAAATTTTAATTTAAGGCTTAGTTATAAAGATACATAATGACAAAGATTGGAAAGTTGTAAAAAATGATGACCTTTTTCGACATTTTCGCTGAGGAAAAATCGTTCCCAAATTGACCAAAGAATCCATTTGTAATCATTGGTCTGTTAGTTACCGGACACCCTGTATATTGGACACGAGTTTCGTTTGTTTCAGATTCTCGAGAGTTGAAGTAGGAACATACGAGTATCATATATCGTTTGTGACTTGCCGAATGAAAGCAAGACAGAGAGCGAACGAGATGATGAGCTTAATAGCTCATAATGTTATAAATAAATAAATAAAAAATTATAACCTGACCTACTAGTTATTGAATCTTTTTTTAATAAAATGTTTCATTATTATTATCATCTAAGTCTAAGTCGTTTAATTACTTTTTAGTTTTTTAATAATTAATTTAATTTATTCTAGTCATTTTTATATGAGAAAAATAATATCACGTATACGTTTTATAATGAATTAATATATTTCGGGAACCGAATTATATATTCTTAATAATATAAAAGTGTTCAAAAATTATATTTGACTTTTAATTTTAATTATTTTTTAGCAAAGAGTTCCGAAATCTCTTACACACATAATGGGGATTTTTTCATCCATATAATTCGCAATTAAGTATATATGTTAATTATTAATTTTAATAAAATAAAAATTAAAATTAAAGGTCAAATATAATTTTTAAACACAAATATATTAAATTAATTATAAAACGTATACCCATGATAGTATTTTTCTCGTACAAAAATAATTAGAGTAAATTAAATTAATCATAAAAGATTAAAAATTAATTAAAGAATTTAAACTTATATTTTATATAATAATAATAAAACATTTTATTACGTCAAACCGTCGTGAAATAATTAAATAAAATTTGCTAGTTACGTCAAAGTCAAGTTTTCTAAGCTTATAAAACATTTTATTAAAAAACAGATTCAATAAATATAAGTACATGTTATATATATACTTATATTTATTGAATCTGTTTTTTTATAAAATGTTTTATTATTATCATATATAATATAAATTATTTAATTATTTTTTTATTTTTTTATGAGTAATTTAATTTATTCTAGTTATTTTTGTACGAGAAAAATACTATCACGGGTATACGTTTTATAACGAATTAAATATATTTATGTTCAAAAATTATATTTGACCTTTAATTTTAATTTTGTATTTTATTAAAATTAATAATTAACATATATACTTAATTGCGAATTATATGGATGAACAAAATCCCTATTATGTGTGTAAGAGATTTCGGAACTCTTTGCTAAAATAATTAAAATTAAAAGTCAAATATAATTTTTGAACACTTTTATATTATTAAAAATATATAATTCGACTCTCGAAATATATTAATTCATTATAAAACGTATACGTATTAGTATTTTTCACATATTAAAATGATTAGAATAAATTAAATTAATTATTAAAAAACTAAAAATTAATTAAACGACTTAGACTTAGATGATAATAATAATAAAACATTTATTAAAAAATAATTATAATAGGTCAGGTTAATATTTTATTTATTTATAACATCATAAAATTCTGTCCTTTCCGAAATACGCGAACGCTACGAAAAGATAAATCTCGTACATGCCGCCGGACGAGTTCATGAGCATGAGACGCTCTTATCTTGGGAACGTATTAATAGTTACTGCATTGACCACTACTACGATATGGCGCTGAAATCAGTGAGAAATGCTGGTCTCTCTTTCATCCAGACCTTTGGCGATCTGTCTATTAATCTGTGATTTGAGTATATATCGATACTTGATACTTTCCATTTACCAACGGAGTGTAACTATAATTATTTAAACTATTTTCAACAGAAAGCAACATCATTGAAGATATATTTAAATGCACGTATTCACTGTTGTAAATATCAATATCAATATCATTAGCATTTAATAAAACTATTTATATACTAATTATAATATTGATTATTATTTAACAGTCCAGGAGATTATTTAAAAGTCTAGAACTGCAAAATACATTGCTAAATGCAATAAATTTTAAAATATTATTTAGATGTTATAAAATATTAAACTTATTTATGTTATAAAATATATATAGATTTAGAGAAATTAATTTTACATTTATTTTCCAACTCTATTATTAAATTATTGCACAATCAATTATTTTTTGCAATTAATTTTTCATGCAGTATAGTTCTAAATCATTGCAAAAATCAAATAAGCAATTTTAATAACAGTTAGTTGCTTGAGAAAAAGCATGACTAAAAATATTTTAATTATTTAGAATTGTAGATTTGATGAAAAATATTTTATACAACATTATACCTTGAAAATCAGTGGCAATTATAAATAATATCAGTAAATCGAATTTTCTAACTTGTCGTGGTATACAGAGAAAAAATTGATTCAGTTCATTGCAATAGAATCGATTTGGAGCTTTTACATTTATTTCCAACTCTATTATTAAATTATAGCACAATCAATTATTCTTTTGCAATTAATTTTTCATGCAGTATAGTTCTAAATCATTGCAAAAATCTAATAAGCAATTTTAATAACAGTTAGTTGCTTGAGAAAAAGCATGACTATTTAGAATTGTAGATTTGATGAAAAAT